GCACTCGAGCGGATCTCGTCGCCAGACCTCAACCCTTTCTGTCATAAACTTCCCATCCTCTCCCTTACGATCTCCAACAACCGTTATGTCGTCATATAGCCACTGTTGGGAGCTGGGCAGCGAGTCGACCTTCTGAAAGAAGGTGTACTTGCTACCGACGCTCAGATCGCACCCTTGAATCTAAGAGGTAAGAGAAGCTCAGTAATGTCATAACATATCGAGTTCAGGCACTCACAGTTCGTAATTTCAGAAAATCTTCGATCTGGTTGTGGCCAAGGTTTTGGCCCATCCAACGGATAAGATCCCACTCATCCTCGTTGTCAAATGGTGCGAAACGACTTGTTTCACTTTGCCGTGCGTCATGTCGCCACTGCTCGAAACGTGTGCGCCCCTCTCCATGCGTTTCAGGTACAGATCGTGGATAGGATTCAACGAAGCGGGTGAAGTCTTCGTGCTCTTCAGGCGTACTGTGAGAAGACCCACTGCTGTTGTCATTGATATAGTCAACGACATCCATGAGCACTTCCGCCGGTATAGGTTGAATTGGGTCCCCAGTATGTGGAACTATGACCGGGGATGGTGACAGATTTGACATTTCGATGTCTGCCAATTCCTGCGGTTGTCCCTCCTGGGTAGCAATTGCAGGCTGCATCTTATAGCTTGCAAGGTGGACTTCCCAACGGCGACGACAGGAAGGGGCGTTTTGAACATGCTGGCGTACACGGTGCTCATCTGTGAATTGCTTGTTACAAAAGCGACAGTGGTGTCTCTTATTGTTTATGCTGCCTGTTGCTGTGTGTGCGCGGGGCATTCTATAAGGTATGCAGGCTATGGGGTGTGTAGCGGCGACTTGTGAAGTGGAACGGAAAGCGAAGGCCGCAGTACCGTGACGGTGGAAGACTTCAAGGTGAATCTGATTGTGTTCCTGTTCCTTGCTCTATGCTCTAAGTCCCTTCCGCAGTGTATGCAAGCCATAGCCAATGGGATTTATGCATTGTGTTAGACTCCGCCTGAGCCTCCGTGCAGTTCCGCCCATGCCGCGTCCAGGGGAAAGGCTGAAACACGCCATTCCGACTCTCGGCTTCAAGCCACCCTCTCGTTGTTTTGCCAAAAAAGGTGATTTTAGTCTGAACTGACTATACAGTTCCTACCTACACGTGCAAAGCAGAGTTCTTTGCCTACACAACGAGGTGATATCTCGGAAGCTGCTCAGTAATATTGTCAGGCTAAATAGCTGGCCTAGAGACTCTGTCAAACCCGCCATGTCTCAACCCTCAAAACGTGTTCGACGTCCGACAGAGAGGCAACAAGAGCTAAGTACGTTATTTGTTTGAAGCTGTTGGTATAATGAGACTCACCCAGTGTTGAGCAGTTGAGAAGAAAGAGGCTGCTGCTGCACGTAAAGCTGCAAACGCAGAGAAAGCCAAACAGAAAGCTGAAGCCACTGAAGCCAAAAGAGCAGGAGCACCGGCACCTAGGAAGATGACGGCGCAAGATAAACGGGTTGCAACTCATGCAGCAAACCTCAATACCCCGGGAGCTCCAGGTTCAGTAAGTGCCGTATGCGTATTGTCACTATAATATGATCTTCACCGCAGACTCATACATCATGATCCTAGATCACTGTGAAGTCGACTAGCCTTGTGCAGACGAATAGGCTGCCCGCAAATGCCACTCCTGCGGCGGTACCAGAGTCAGTCCAGGCTCCGAGTCCAATGGCGCCTGCAGCAGCCATGACGACAACTTTGGCTGCCGCAGCTGCCCCTGCGGTTCGCCCGAGGACTAGTGTCCCTAGGCCTTCTCCATCCCGAGTTACCACAGGGGTCAAAGGACCACTGGCTTCCCAGGCCGCCGCCCTGTCATCTAGCCTTACCCACTCACTCAATGTGACCCCTGTCGCGAAAGCTCATGCTGTTGGCCGTCTTGCTAGTGTTGGCGCTCAGAAGGTTATCTCCCAGACTGCGACTCCTCCGAAAACACCCACCAATCTTCGCACTCCCATCGTAACTAACACTCTCACGAATTCTGGCACTCCCACCAATACTCTGGCAAGTCGCGCTCCCACCAACGCTCCGAGCCGTGCTCCCACTCCGAATCACACTCCCACCAACACTCCGAGTCGCATTGGGAATAATGTTGTCGTGATCAATCCGCCACAGCCTCCCCCAGTGTTGCTGTCGAAGATGAGCAGCCGCAGTGTTGGGAAGACCGCGACTGTTGCTCGGCCTTCCTCCTCCTCTAGTGGGTCAAGGAGTGCAGTGGCTTTGGACCCTCGCCCCCGACTTGCACCTGAGCGGCTTGCTGCTCCCCCTGTCACAGTCAAGGCTCCCGTGTATGCTGAGCCTAGAGTTACAGGTTTTGACGACTCAGCAGTCAAGGCCGCCTTACAAGGTCTCTGTGACGCCCTACCAAGGGAAAGTGGTAAGTTCTGAACCTATTGGTTCGCACCTAATTTGCGCGCTCATACCCTGCTATATAGCCCCACAAGTCCTAGCAGTATTTCAAACCCTATTCAATGCTACGCAACGTCGCGCGGCAGATGGAGCAGCAAGTCTGGAAGCCAATGGCGCCGTGACTGGTGACTTAGGCTTGGATCAGCAAGACATGAAAACGGAAGATATCTGCGGCACTGCAGATGCAGAAATGGTTGGTAGCAAGCGTCGTCATACTGATGATGCTAATCATGACATCGAATGTGATCTACCAACTGCGCCCAAATCTGCCAAGGTTGAGAAGGGTAAGGCCACACCACTTCGAAAGGCTTTTTCGTCCGAGGTGGTCAAGCTTCGAGACCTTGCATCGGAGATCTTTCGGAGCAAAATGGCAACCGAATGTGCATTTCCAACTGACTCAGAGAAATGGGTGCATGATTGTTGGGCTCAGGCATGTAATGAACACAATGTCGAGTGTTCGATGACACCGGATCTTTTTCAATGGGTACCGTTTTGATCTCATAACCCAGTGCATGGACATCGTGACTAATTTTCGATTCGGTGTTCTACAGATTCACAAAACGGCCACTTCCTTTCGGAGTAACGTCAAACGCGATGCTCGAACAGCTATCGATCGAGCGTTTGACTTCAAGCCTGGCCCAAAGAACGCACAGAAGAATGAAGACCATGCAAGGGAGCTCTTAACAGCTGATACTTTCATATATCCGGTCAGTCAGACGTTATTGCTTTGTAAGGAATACTCACATTTTTGTCAAGGAATCTGAACATGCAAAGGAGCCTGGATCGCGAAAGTTCATGTATGAGAATGATGCGATCTCTACATTCATTCATCAGGCGTTCTTCTCAACCACGTCCGCAATTGGAATTCGTCGAGCTGATGAATTCGGCTCAGCAATGCCTATCTCAGCAATCGCATTTGCGTGCACCATGGTGAGTTCCGCTGGCTTCTGATATGTCCTCGAATGAAGCTCAATCTTGTAATCACGATGTGGCACTGACGGGCAATGACACGTCTATTTCTCATGTAGATTCATTTTGCCATCTCTGAATGGGCCGGTGGGAAGTGGGTAAATGCAAAATTCGACGCTACTCCTTGGAAAAGTGTATATGATCACCATGTTCGACGGCTCGAAGCTGGTCAGGAAGCTGGCGCTCAGGCAGCTCGTCAAGGACACGAGAATAAGTTCAAGACATTTACGAAGAAAATGTTGTATGATGCAAGGTGAGTACTACTCGTTTGTGGTTCCATTCACTGCATCACTTACTACGTCTGTTGGCAGACTGCAATGCGGTGCTGATGTTGGCGATATCGACGATTACGACAGCGACATGGAGCAGCCTCTTGAAGAGTTGGCGGATGCTGAAGATGAGTGGAAGAGGGACGTAGAACGCGCCTTCGGCAATACTGGCACAGCTGATAATCATCGTAAGCATCGCACTGCTAGCGAAATATCCAACGACGAAGCTACTGAACTACTGAAACAAGTTCTGCTCCCGCCAAAATCGCAACACACGCTCCAGCGCACACCCACCCCTCATCCATCCACTGGGCTGTTCACTCAGCCACATGATGCGCCTCCAATGGATGAAGACGAGTTTCCCGAATTTGCGGCCGGAGATGACTGGGATGTTGTGGCCCAAAAATACAATATCCACCTGCCCGAGGAACTCATCAACGATGACTTTGTGGACGTTGACCCTGAGGAACATGCTTATACTGCTGCTACTTATGGGGAGCATGGGAACGAAGGTGAGGGGGAGGTAGTCGAAGAATGGGAGGCAGCAGGACGGTACGGCGGATGCGAGGCCAATATGGAGGTGGATGTTCCAGTTAATAGCAAGGGCGACTCGGAGTATGATCTGCCAAGTCAGATGGGTATGGAGATCAGTGAGCGCGACTCAGCTGTTGGCAGTGTGGTTAGGCGGGAGATTGATGTTGACGTTGATGAGGAGGAACAATTATGAAGTCGCAGTCATAGTGCTATAGTAGCTTGCGCTTTCCGAGGTACATGGTATGCATGTAAAGGTTCTCCGCTCTAGACCTTTTCATCAATGTCATATTATTGCGCGCAATTTTGTCGACGCGCCGGTGGCCCTATCATGAGTTCTGTGTTGTATACCAAACCGGGATACAAGTATCCACCACAGGTATCGACGAGTATATACCAGTACAAGCCGGGCCCTTGCACCTATACTGGTAGATATTTAGAGGGTAAGTATTCACGGTATCTGCGCTATATACGGTATATACCTATATATACCGGGTCCCGTTTTTCCAGATGTTTATATATCGGATTACAGCTTACACACTGAGAAGTATGGGTCTGTCATATTTCTTTGGCAATTTGTCAGCATGTGTCCCTTTGGCAGTGCTTAGGTGTCATGGTCACCGTGCAAGGCACGGGTCTTCGCTAGTAAGTACATATGCGTGAACAGACGGGGGTGGATGTAATGAACAAGCTTGAGAGAAAGCACTTGCCAGTGGGCTAGCGAATTGGCGAAAGTGATCAATATGTATATGATAATAATATAGGATCCCTTCGCAATGACTCTGTAGCTCAGTGGTTAGAGCATACGATTGCAACGAGCGTGTTATCGTGGGGTCCCGTGTTCGAACCACGGCAGGGTCTGTTTTTGTCCCGCTCTTCTTTTCCGGTCGGTGGCCACGAACCTCTGCCATCGCGCAGGTGTCCTTCATTGTTCGTCTCATTTTTGTCCAGTAGTGTAATGAAACCATCTATAAGCCATACTGACATCACGCACATTCGTCAATATATACAGCAAAGATAGCAACGAACGAGGAAACAATAGGACAAATCCATTAAGACACGGCGCAAAGAACAGGAAAACAACCCTAGCGATGCACAATGCCTGAGGTATAATCTACGCTGTACGAGAGGGGGATAAAGCTACACAGGGTGGGGGTAACGAGTCACCGAAGGACTTCCGAGACAGAGAGATATTATAGCTACAGTGGTTGAGAAATGAGATGAGATGTAGGAGGGCAAGATTGTCATGATGGAGCAACCAAAGAAAAATAAACAAGGAGAGCAATAACGAGGATGACGACGACGGTTGAAAAAACAATGCGCGTTGTGTTTTTTGTCTTCTGCAATTGGTGAAAGAAGTCTAGTATTCCCCAACAAGGTATCCAGGCTGAGAGAACGGATTGGCGTCGAACAGAGCGGATGATTCAGGTCCGCAAGTGGGGGGTTCGGGGAACCCATACGACTCCATATCGATATCGTACCCGTAATCTTGGAGGTTCAGAGACATGTCCTGATGCATTTGAGTAGCCGCGTTCGGCATGGGAGCAACGACCTCAGGCTGGTGAGCCTGCGAATGAGGGTGCTCGTAATCGAAGGTATGCTGCGATTGAGAGACCAAGGTACTTTCAGACGGAGAAGGCGAACCTGAGAAAGTCGAGGACGGGCCGGAAGAAGCATCAAGCGATGGTGGAACTCCCCATGATGACATGTTCTGTTCGAATTGAGCATTGTTCGAATCAGGCGTGAAGAAGGGATAGGCTGATGATTGGGCGGTAGAAGCTCCGGTAAGTTCGCCAGGCGAGCAGACGTTGTCGAGCGGCGATATGCTAAGTGCGAGGTCGGGATGCGGGACTTGAGGTTGTTGGTACGTTTGCAGGAAGAGACCTTCGTGTGATTGATGCGTGAAAGGCGATGCTGAGTCCAAGTATGATTCCTGGAAGAGCGATCTGTCGAAATCCGGGAGAGGCTCGTGGTCTTGCTGCAACTCAGGCTGAGTCCAAGAGGAAGGCATCGTCCATGACCGCAGGGGATCCGCGCTGGAAGCCCTCCGCTGACCGAGGAACATACGATTCGACCGCGCGATGTTGTTAATCGGCGAATCGGGCCGCGACATCGAGGCCATGTTCTGCTGCATGAGGAATGGCACAGTGGGAACAGAAATCGGATGGTATAGAGTCGTGGGAGGGGGGACGGAGGATGGGCGGCGTTGAGTGTAGAAACTCATCGCGTGAGCCGAAGGAAGGGGCGCGGGCATGTGAAGCATGGGGCTCTCGTAAGATGTAGGTGTCATCTCGCGTGAACGATCAATATCGAGCATACGGACAGCCGCGGCGAGCTCTTCACCCTTCTTGCCTTCGAGCAGAAGCTGCGCGACTTCCTCACACCGCCGCTCCTCGTCTAGAGGAATGGGGGTCTTCTCTTTACGCTTCGCAGCCTCTCCCGCCTTCTTGTGCTTGTTGTGCACAGGACGGAAGCGATAATTGGGATACCGTTCCTTGTGCTCGGCTTTCGCCCTCTTTGCACGAGCTTCCCAAACCTTCTTCTCTTCGACGGGCAATGAACGCCAACAATTACCTGATAATCAGGGCCACATCAGTTATTCTGACCCATGTGTTGGTCAGATGTCTGCGCTCACCAATGATCTTGGAAAGTGAGCCGTGATTTGTCTCGATGGACCCTGGAACATGTTTCTGACGAACAAAATCCGCACGGAACAGCATGAAGGCATTGGGGGGACGAGGGATGTATCCTTGTGAGCGGCGCTTGCCGGGAGGTTGCCTCCGACGCGATGGCGCGGGCGCGGGTTCCTCCGCTGGGGGAAAGAGCGCGTTCGAAGGCGATGGGGGCTCTGCGTCGTCGTCTTGATTGTCCTCGACGTACGTTCCAGGGGTAACGTTCGGTGCAAAGGTAACATTGCGGGGAGAAGTGGTGATCCCATACGTCCCAGCCTTCACTCCAGTGAGACCTGTGCCACCCGAGACGCGTCAGGATTGAAGAGGACAACGAAGAAGAGATCACCTACCGAGACCGAGAGAAGATCGCCTGCGACGGCTGTTGGACACAGTGCGGAAAGCAGGCATGTCTAAACGCTGCAGCTAGTTATTATAAGATGCGAAGTAGTGGTAGAGTGTCAAAGTCGATGTAATTGTTGTGCGTAGCGTGGCTTGCGTGATTCCCTAATTGAGGGAAAGACAATAAGGAGGATGAGGTGGTGGGGACGAAACAAGATGGGCCTATTGTTCTCGCTCTCTTATAAGAGCTCGACTGATCAGCAAAGTTGTCCGAACGTGCCTTGTCCCGGGATGCAGCTGCTGGTCTTCCACCAGAAGCAATAGCGCTCGCCGTCCCTGTATGAGCTCGCCGGACCCCGATCACCTCCGTATACATCTATCAGCGCCTCTAGATCTCCTCCGTGTTCCTCCCTCATCTGCTTCAGCCTTTTGCTTGCAACTCGTCTCCATCTCGCGTTCACAGCTACTCTCAGATGCACCAGGAAATCGAGAGGACTTTGCGCTCTCTGGACGTCCGTCTGCGTACGTGTATTTTGGTAGGTGTATCGGGGTCCTGCCACCCTACAAACCCCGCGAACGCGCACGCGATTGTACAGATCAGTCCCAAGGCTTGTGCCTCAAAATGGTAACTCCTTTGTATCCTCCCCATATAGATCGTCTTAATGAACTCCTCCGCCATATGCGTAGTGGGCGAATACCGAGTCGAGCCCCCGCTCATCAGAACGATATCCTTATGGAGAACCCAAAATTCAGCTTCCGAGCCGAACAGACTCGGCATACAGGGTTAAGGTGAGCACCTGTGAGCAAAGTCCCCCCTGATTCACCGAATGCCACCAGATGCCACCACTTCGAGCCTCTCCATGGGCTGAGGCAAGTCTCGGTTCCACGCTTCCCGACGAGTCAGATGTCCGGGATGTCGCCCAGTGCTCTTGCCACTCACCCGTCGTTTGTCTAACGTGTCGGCGCCGCAGCCATCCAATGCACTTCCCATGTAGCGAGCAAGGTCCTCTGGAACTGCCACTCCTCTGCTCTATACGCGAGAGGTGGACGGCGGCGTCCGCAGTGTCGTGAGTCGTTGACCAACGTGTCTCCCACCTTGAGTAAATTCTGGCTTCCATTGAATGTGTCACCCCAGCATCTATTCCGTACACATCGGTTATAAAGCGCGGAATTGCTTCCATCGCGCCGCTCGTTTCCCGACGCTAGCATGGAGCTTAAACTCAACCCTGACCGTCGACCGACGCTAGAACTAACGCGACAGAGACCCTCAGCACATCTGGCGTCAGCGTCGCATGACCGTGACTCCTCTGTCCTTGTTCCCTCCAGGGAATTGACTTTATCTTGAATCCGTATGGCCGAGCCAGATGGAGATTCCCGCCGGAATGCGAAACGCAAAGGCCAGCCGCCAAGTCATCAAATGCAAAAAAGCACTCGCATACGTAACACCGAATATCTAACGTACCCAATTTTCGCGGGATCAGAAATTCAGGTAAACCCTCCATTTCACAATATCCATGGCCCCGGTCAACACATCGCGGACTTTTGGCATTGATCCTCGACATCGAGATTCACAGCGTTTCCTACATACACTCTTGTACTCTTTTCGAGCTCGTGAAATCTGTGGATCTGCGGAATTCAGTGAGTCGCCTTGGATACGGTGAACCTTGTCCTCCCCCGTCTTCTTTCATCTCTGCGTTGACGTCGAGTCAATGGCGTTGGAATCGTAAACGGTATCATCTGGTGGTTGGGCTGTGCTCAAGAAGTTCTGACTTTAAAGACTCCTCGTGCTCCCCCTGGTCGATGCGTTTCGAACTCATCGCATGGATTGACTGCCTATCAGCTTGTCGCTCCCGAGCGGATGGGCGGTTCGTGTTGTGTATGGTTTCTGTCAAGGTTGCGGTGAACGCGCTCCTGTCCGACGTATGCTGTGTCCGCACGCATTGTCTCAGGAACTGGAGGAGTAGATCCTCAGCTGTATGCCACGGCGCCGTCGCACGACCAAAAGGAGGGAGAGGAAAAACAAGACAAACTCGTATGGGAAATACAAATCGCGAAGCCCCCGAGGTTTCAACTTCCTTGTACTTCTCTTCTGTCGCTCATTGCCCCATCTCTTCTCTTCTCATACTCGAATTCTCACCTCCCTCGGCTACTTTACACTTCTCCCGGCGAGCACCCTGTATTTCTGACGCAGTTTCGAGACTCCACGTGCTTGGGTCCAGGAAGGATCTCACGGCGTCACGGAGTTCACGAGCTATGAGGTAAGCAGGATCTTTTCCATGTCCATCATCATATGTAGAAGGGAAAAACAAGGTAATGGCGATGCTAGGGCTATTACTGATGACACTCAGAAAAACAATGTCTCCCCTCTAGCCCCGTTGCGAGTGGCGATTATATGGGCTTTGAAGAAAGTCGCGATGGTGTATATATTGTCAATATGTCGAAGCCCCGGGCAGGGTCCTCGTTACTTTCTTCTGCACACTCTTGTCTTGCTGCGTTCTATCATCTATGGCGGTGCGAAATGGAAGTGAATTACGTGCAGGATACAGCGACGTGCGGGAGCTGAGCGCTGAGCGCTGAGGCCTGAGGCCCTCGAAGCGAGGAAACTTGAAAGGCGTATTGGAGAAAACGCGATCACGTGAAATATGCGACGCGCTTTGGCGGCTTACGAACTTGTTGACGCACACGTGCTACGTTGTTCGGTAACTTCCGGTCGCCGAAATTGTCAACGCGCTTCAAAGTGTTCCAAAGCTTCTTCCTTTTCAAGTTCAACTTCGACAACCTCCTGGTTTCCTCCTAGATTTCTTCTCTCACTTCATTGTATCGTATTCTCTCCCCATACTGTGCATTGTC